TGACATCACTTAGATGTGTTTCTAATGTGGCAGCACAGTTTTCACTTTATTGTTTCTGACTTCAGGTGGTGCTCTCCGCCTCTGCCGCCAGGCCATGTTACACCACAGTTCAAGAGGGGGCAATGAACGTGTCACAGGTGCGACTCACCTGACTTGACTACACCTGAGTGTGTGGTCAAGTGAGTCTGAGGAGGAGGACCTGTGTCCGTCACATGTCTGCTGGGACTCTGCAGACACACAAATCTTGATGTAGGTGTAAAAACCACTGATGTTTGGAAATGCTGAGCTGGATTTGATCCAAACCTTCTGCTGTATTTATTTTTGTTTCATTCTCTATTTTCTGTAACAGAATGAAATAAATCAGGTTAAATTGTTTTCATTTGTCAGTGATGACAGTCATGCACCTGAGGGCATCATCAAACTGTTTTCATCTGAACCAAATATTTGCATAGATGTAAGATTATCTACAGCTGCTTTCAGTACCACTGATGTTAATTTAGTGTCTTTCTCTCCAGCTGATCTGAGTTAGCTTGAGTAACTACCACCAGCTGCTTTGGCCTGTTCTTTTCTGTATCACATGGTGGCGCAGTAAGTCACTGTAACTTTCATTTAATTAGAGTTTATTTCCTGTAAACAAATATTAAATGATTTCTAACCAACTGCATCAATCTGTCTGTGATTAGCCGTCCACACTGAGCTCTGACAGCTGTACAAATAGCGTTGTTCCTGAAGTCACACCTTGGTATTTTGGTAAATCCAGATTTATTTATCTCAGTCCTGCAAACGGGAAGCCGGATTTTCAGGTCATTAACTGAGGCATGAAAATGTGCGGCCTCTCCTACTTCCTGTCAAACAGCAAGTTTGTCTCCACATAGGATTCCAGGAGCTCGGAATCTGACGGCGTATCTCTGCTTTGAATCCTCGGCTTTGTGACGACAATCACAAACCTTCAGATTCTGTTTGCTGTCTTGACCCAAAAAAAGATGGCTGCCACACAGAGGTTTCTCTATTTTGATGGGGCGAATGATCAGATTTCACAAACAAACAGAAATCATTTATGAAGCTGATCTTTAGACCCGTTGAGGAAAAACCTGCTGCAGACACATGATCTAAGACGGCTGAGGTGCACTGGCACAACACAACCTCAGTGATACATCACCTGCCAGTAGAGATGCTTAGGTCACTCAGCCTTGGCACAAAAGGCGGTGAAGACAACGTGTGCATGAAAGAGGTGAGCGGGATGGCATAGACCTTCCCAGCAAATGCCTATTCGATCCAAAATAAGACGGAAGAATGAGACTGTCTCACAGGCTGTTCACCTGCTACTGCATGATGTAAAGCTCAGGGCTTCACTGTGCAACTGGTTGTTGAGAGCTCAGCCTGATGTCCAATAACGACAGTCTGCTTACAGGAAGTGGCTGAATCTGCAGTCCGCTGCTCTGACCAGAGAGGAGATGACTGTGGACTCCAACACTGGTCTGCGCACAAACACACTCCATGTTTCTGTTGATCTGAATGATTATGGTATTTTCATAGGTTTTAGTTTAATGAAACAAATCAATCTTCTTCTACTCAAAAAACTGATCATGACAGAGACATGAAGATTCATCATGAGACTGATCAACAGGACATTTTAAATCAGAGTAAAGTTGTTTCTAAAACTTTAACGTTACTCATTTATTAATGTAAATAAAAACAAACACTTCTGTCTTCTAAATCTGTTCAACTCTAACGCTGCATGAATGAAGTTAGCAGCTGGAAAACATCTCTGTGTGAGAGTGATTCAAACAACACCAATAAAATACCACTGATGTGTTTTACGTGGATTTCAAACAGTACAGATGTTATTCTGATATGAAATGTCGATGTTTTATAGTTTGTAAATAAAGGCACCTCCATATTGGAGCCACTGCGTGGCAGTGATGCATCCTTGAACCTGTGTGACTTTGCCTGTGTGACAACAAAACTATCGACTACACTACTCACTAACTTCACAACACAAAACACTAACTTTAAACTCCAAACACGCTAAAAGTCACAATTCTTTCACATCTCAAAACTTTCTTTCTCTCTTCGCTCTTTTGCTCTCTCTCTCTTTCGCTGCCATCACTCATAAAACTTCTCCGCCTTTCTAAACAATCAAATGCCATGATGCCGTATTATTATTTTTTTATTTGATTTACCGTTTTTCCCCCAGTAAATATAAACAACAATAGTATTCAGGAAAAAGCTTTACGTATATATTTTTTTCATAACTCTGGTTTTATAGCCTATCAACACAATTTAAAAACTAGTATATAGTTTGAAGTCCACACTTTTTATACAAAAATGGAAATCGGGGTTGTTTTGGGTTGAAAGCATCTTGTTACTATGTCATCTTAAATTGGTCATGCGATTGGTTTACCTTGACTATTTTATTCTTCCTCAGCCAATCAGCAGCACAATCGTCTGTGTTGAAAAATAGTAATGAGTCCACACCGCATTTTCTTGTTAGTAACAGCGTTTTAATGATAGAAATGGTAATTATTCAGATTAGTTACTGTTATTCCCATCACTGATAATGACACAATTATTTCTACCACTAATCATTTCTACCACTCATAAATGGTAAATGGACTGATTCTTATATAGCGCTTTTCTACTCTCCTGGAGTACTCAAAGTGCTGTATGCAACGCTGTATACAAACTAGTGACGGCATTTAATAATCTATATCCACAAATGAAAATTGTAAATAAATGACATTAGATGAGCACAAATCTACGGAAGAGGATTAGGGCCACTGGAAAAAAAAAAGGATTCTGACTTTAATCTCAGAATTCTGACTTTTTTCTCAGAATTCAGAGAAAAAAGTCAGAATTCTGAGATTAAAGTCAGAATCCTTTTTTTTTCCAGTGGCCCTAATCCTCTTCCGTAGATTTGTGCTCATCTAATGTCATTTATTTACAATTTTCATTTGTGGATATAGATTATTAAATACCGTCACTAGTTTGTATACAGCGTTGCATACAGCACTTTGAGTACTCCAGGAGAGTAGAAAAGCGCTATATAAGAATCAGTCCATTTACCATTTATGAGTGGTAGAAATGATTAGTGGTTACTGTTATTCCCATCAGTGATGGGAATAACAGTAACTAATCTGAATAATTATTTCTATCGTTAAAACGCTGTTACTAACAAGAAAATGCGGTGTGGACTCATTACTATTTTTCAACACAGATTGTGCTTGATTGGCTGAGGAAAGAATAAATAGTCAAGGTAAACCAATCGCATGACCAATTTAAGATGACATAGTAACAAGATGCTTTCAACCCAAAACAACCCCGATTCTCCATTTTTGTATAAAAAGTGTGGACTTCAAACTATATACTAGTTTTTAAATTGTGTTGATAGGCTATAAAACCAGAGTTATGAAAAAATATATACGTAAAGCTTTTTCCTGAATACTATTGTTGTTTATATTTACTGGGGGAAAAACGGTAAATCAAATAAAAAAATAATAATACGGCATCATGGCATTTGATTGTTTAGAAAGGCGGAGAAGTTTTATGAGTGATGGCAGCGAAAGAGAGAGAGAGCAAAAGAGCGAGAGAGAGAAAGAAAGTTTTGAGATGTGAAAGAATTGTGACTTTTAGCGTGTTTGGAGTTTAAAGTTAGTGTTTTGTGTTGTGAAGTTAGTGAGTAGTGTAGTCGATAGTTTTGTTGTCACACAGGCAAAGTCACACAGGTTCAAGGATGCATCACTGCCACGCAGTGGCTCCAATATGGAGGTGCCTTTATTTACAAACTATAAAACATCGACATTTCATATCAGAATAACATCTGTACTGTTTGAAATCCACGTAAAACACATCAGTGGTATTTTATTGGTGTTGTTTGAATCACTCTCACACAGAGATGTTTTCCAGCTGCTAACTTCATTCATGCAGCGTTAGAGTTGAACAGATTTAGAAGACAGAAGTGTTTGTTTTTATTTACATTAATAAATGAGTAACGTTAAAGTTTTAGAAACAACTTTACTCTGATTTAAAATGTCCTGTTGATCAGTCTCATGATGAATCTTCATGTCTCTGTCATGATCAGTTTTTTGAGTAGAAGAAGATTGATTTGTTTCATTAAACTAAAACCTATGAAAATACCATAATCATTCAGATCAACAGAAACATGGAGTGTGTTTGTGCGCAGACCAGTGTTGGAGTCCACAGTCATCTCCTCTCTGGTCAGAGCAGCGGACTGCAGATTCAGCCACTTCCTGTAAGCAGACTGTCGTTATTGGACATCAGGCTGAGCTCTCAACAACCAGTTGCACAGTGAAGCCCTGAGCTTTACATCATGCAGTAGCAGGTGAACAGCCTGTGAGACAGTCTCATTCTTCCGTCTTATTTTGGATCGAATAGGCATTTGCTGGGAAGGTCTATGCCATCCCGCTCACCTCTTTCAACACGTTGTCTTCACCGCCTTTTGTGCCAAGGCTGAGTGACCTAAGCATCTCTACTGGCAGGTGATGTATCACTGAGGTTGTGTTGTGCCAGTGCACCTCAGCCGTCTTAGATCATGTGTCTGCAGCAGGTTTTTCCTCAACGGGTCTAAAGATCAGCTTCATAAATGATTTTCTGTTTGTTTGTGAAATCTGATCATTCGCCCCATCAAAATAGAGAAACCTCTGTGTGGCAGCCATCTTTTTTGGGTCAAGACAGCAAACAGAATCTGAAGGTTTGTGATTGTCGTCACAAAGCCGAGGATTCAAAGCAGAGATACGCCGTCAGATTCCCGAGCTCCTGGAATCCTATGTGGAGACAAACTTGCTGTTTGACAGGAAGTAGGAGAGGCCGCGCATTTTCATGCCTCAGTTAATGACCTGAAAATCCGGCTTCCCGTTTGCAGGACTGAGATAAATAAATCTGGATTTACCAAAATACCAAGGTGTGACTTCAGGAACAACGCTATTTGTACAGCTGTCAGAGCTCAGTGTGGACGGCTAATCACAGACAGATTGATGCAGTTGGTTAGAAATCATTTAATATTTGTTTACAGGAAATAAACTCTAATTAAATGAAAGTTACAGTGACTTACTGCGCCACCATGTGATACAGAAAAGAACAGGCCAAAGCAGCTGGTGGTAGTTACTCAAGCTAACTCAGATCAGCTGGAGAGAAAGACACTAAATTAACATCAGTGGTACTGAAAGCAGCTGTAGATAATCTTACATCTATGCAAATATTTGGTTCAGATGAAAACAGTTTGATGATGCCCTCAGGTGCATGACTGTCATCACTGACAAATGAAAACAATTTAACCTGATTTATTTCATTCTGTTACAGAAAATAGAGAATGAAACAAAAATAAATACAGCAGAAGGTTTGGATCAAATCCAGCTCAGCATTTCCAAACATCAGTGGTTTTTACACCTACATCAAGATTTGTGTGTCTGCAGAGTCCCAGCAGACATGTGACGGACACAGGTCCTCCTCCTCAGACTCACTTGACCACACACTCAGGTGTAGTCAAGTCAGGTGAGTCGCACCTGTGACACGTTCATTGCCCCCCTCTTGAACTGTGGTGTAACATGGCCTGGCGGCAGAGGCGGAGAGCACCACCTGAAGTCAGAAACAATAAAGTGAAAACTGTGCACATTAGAAACACATCTAAGTGATGTCACATTCCTGTTGTCGCTCTGTCACACTGACCTCTGCATTCAGCTTCCTTCTCTTCACATCGTCATACACATGAAACATCAGCAGCTCGCAGGTCTTCTTGTGATCTCAGCCTGCATTCGAGCCACAGCACAGAACACCAACCCTCTCTGCTCGAGGGCTAGCATCTGTAACTGATCTGGGACTCGTGTGCCAAAGCGTTATTAAAAAGGACTCGACTCCTCAGCAACTGACAGTGTGTTTGTCACATTCAGACTGACCCAAGGACCTACCTCTCACAGCCAGCAGCTGACCTTTGGCCTCCAACATGCAGTTGGATCACAAACTCTTTTGACTCAGTCAAACCTCAGAGAGGTGTTGTGAGTCATATTGCAGGTTCTGCTTTCATTCTGGTGTCTGAAGAGGTCCAGCCCACAAAGCAGATCTTCAGTCTGTCAGTCCTTCTGAAAAAAGTCAGAATTCTGACTTTAATCTCAGAATTCTGAGAAAAAAGTCAGAATTCTGAGATTAAAGTCAGAATTCTTTTTCTTTTTTTCCAGTGGCCCTAATCCTCTTCCGTACAAATCTGACTGAGAACTTAAACTTCACCTTAATTTTTCCGTCTGCTCACATCTCCAATGTTTGCACACGTTGTCATTAGCATGTCTTCACTCCACATCGGCCACACCGCTTTGCTAGCTAAAACAACGGTGTCGGCACATAAGGATGCTGTCACAGCTTGTTGATTAGCTGCATAAATACAAATGTGAATCGCATCACTGGCAGGAGCAGCCAGTCACCGGTCACTACTGACTCACACAGCAAAAAAGCACAGAATGAATTGTTGTGTATTTATTTTGATTTCAATTCAGGTTGGATTTTTTTTGTGTCCGCAGTGCAGATTTTCTGTGCGCAGACCATGCCAGCAGTGTGCGATTGCGCATGCGTGCAGCTTAGAGGGAATATTGGTCCAGATAAACAGAATCAACTTTTCCCCTGGATGGTCAAGCACGCATCTAGATCTGAGAACAGCATCTGAGAATAAATTAATTTACATATTAAAGACTCAGCAGAATTTGGTTGTAAATATTTGGATTTACTAAACAGAAAATTAATGTCACTGTGAGCGGCTGATGGATTTCACAGACAGCAAAGCAACAGCAAAAAAAAAAGAGAAAAAAAGTGAAAAATTACAGAAATGTTAATTTGTTCTGAATTACATTTGGAAGAAGGTGCCATCAAGCAGCACAGCATATTTACAGTACACACCTGGTTGTGGTCATGGATTGGTTTCCCCTTTCTGCCGAGGAAGACTTTCAGCTAAACAATGAGTTAATGCTGACACTGATGTCGGTTTCCCATGTGAATTTTGCCCCTCGTTGTGTAACTTTTGTTTCATCCAGTGACACAAATGCCTTTAAAACAACGAGAGTCCAGCGGATCATCTGAAGGATTAAGAAAAGGCAGTCAGAAACCTCATTAAGCTGATGTCCAACCTACCGATGAGGATGTGTCCCTCTGCAGCTTCATAAATCATTAAACTTCAGTCTGAGGATGAGGGGAGACATGTGACACTTGAGGAAAAGCTTTCCAAACTTCCTGTGGATGATTTCTGTGCTCGTATGAGTGAGGAAACAGCTGGAGGAAGAGATTAAAGCCTACAGCTCTCTGTGAATCTGATTACAGACTGATCACAGCACAGCTTTCTCAGAGCTTACTGTCAGGACATCAAATCCTCTGATGTAATGCTTTAACTCAGAGAAAAGCTGAATTAAGGGTTTAAGGGTCCCAAGGCTAGGCCCCTCACGCCCCCTTACAGATATAACCAGAGTAACTGGCTTACTGAGAGAGCCCCTGAGATACCTGCAGCTGCTGTAGAGATGGCGAGGATGGCGTCGCCTGAAGCTGAGAGAACAGTAAAATATTAACTTCTTTGATAATTGCTCAAAATGAGAACGTACGTGTAAGGGGAACCTTTTATTCCTTCCTTTCACGCACTTCCTATTCCATGGTGGGTGTTCCTGTTAAACGAGTTTCTAATACTCGGCTCAGTGTGTGCACAAACAGTTGATTACAGGTTTTTCGACTCTTGGATCAGGATGATTTAATGGAGAGCAGAACTCATTTCACCTATACCCAACGTCCACTCCCCTGCTGAGCAAGCAGAGGCACTGCCAATCAAAGGAAAACGGCCTTAAAAGAAGAGATTAAGTCCTTCATTTCTTCCTTCAGTCCATTTAATGGCAAAGAGCAGAGAAGTACAGCTAAACATATTTTTTCTGTTTTTTTTTTCTGTTCACACACTGGCAATAAAAAGTGTTTAATATATGAAACATTGCCTAATGCATGTTTAAAGTGGGACATCTTTACACATTAAAAACACAACAGATGTGCTCTGACAAATGAAAGATGCCACATCGTTTGATGGAAATGAAAACAATCCACCTACAGGTGAGTCCACTTTGCCCAAACATAACGTCCCAGAGGTATTCTAATGGATTTTGGTCAGGTGAGCATGAGGTCCACTCAGTGGCATCGCTCGAGTCATCCTCCAGAGCTTCCTGCATATTCTCAGTATCCCCAAACCAGTCATACTGAACGAGGACTCATGTCGCCCTCATGAAGTCTGTTTGGTAAGGCGTTCACACCAGCATAGCTCTTTTGGCGCTCATCCTCTTCCTCCGTGCACAGAGGAGCAGACACCAGTCCTGCTGATGAGTCAAGGCCTTCTGCAGCCCTGCGCAGCGCTCCTGGAGTCTCCTTCGTGCTCCTGAGACTGTGCTGGGAGGCACATAAACCTGCCATTAGCACGTAATCATGTGCCATCCTGGAGGAACTGGACTACCTGTGCAGCCTCTGTAAGGTTGTATGTATGGTCACATGTCACTGACCCCAGCATATGCAACACTAGTGAAAAACAGAACAGGGAAAATGTGAGACCCCTCCACCAATCAGAAGTTTTCCGATTTCTTTATTAAATCATAAGATTCTTAAATTCATCAAGTCTCTCTGTGCCTGGGTCCTCGTCACAAAACATGACATCACTGTTTTGTACATTTTAACACAATTGAATCCCCACATTCGTGAAAGAAAAGCAAAACACCTTTTTGAAAAGTCTGTAACAAAACCATCAAATCTGATAAAGGTTATTTAAATGCTGCAAAAGAAGAATGGATTGGAATAAAAAAAAATACATCTCTTAACCTTAATTACTGGGGAGAATAATGAATGATGCTCATAGTGAGTAAAAAGTAAACAATATAATACAGATACATAAAAAAAAACCTCCTCCCAAAACAGAATAAATTATTACAAAATATTAATAAAAACTATAAAAATGGAGGCAACTTTGCCTGTGGTAGAATGTATACAATGTATGAAAAAAAAAATCTTTACTGCAGATACTAATTTTGTGTTGTAAGATTTATGAGTTTGATGCCTTCATAGTGGTACTTGGGAGAGCTTGACATTTTCTCAGGTGGTACACACTGTAAAAAGTTTGAGAAACACTGATAAGGTAAGTGTATGTGTGCTTTTGGAAAACATTTAAAGCTGCAGTACAGAATCTTTGAAACAAGCTAGCTTAAAACATTTTTAGAATATAAACAGAGCGCTCTGCTTCTCTTTACAGTTCCTCACTCCACCAGGGCTGTTTGGCACTTTCTGATAGTGTGCAAATGTGGTGCACGTACTGCGGCAGTCATACAGACAACTGGACGGTCCAAAAGTTGGCCTACCTATTACTGGCTGAGGTTTTAGTAGAGTTGTGGCTGAACCACATAAGGATATATCATTAATTTTAATCTCCCCAATCAATTATAATGTTATGTTGGAGTGTTGTTAAAGAGGGTCAAAAACGTTTCAACCCAGTTTGTTTTGCAGATTCTGTATAGCAGCTTTAATATAGGGAGGACACAACTTCCAGACTGTATGAGTAAAATCAGTTTTTTTCTCTTTGTCAGTTTAACAGTTTCTGTTTTGCCTGTCACTGTTCCCTGTCTGTTTTCTTACCTGGTTCTTCCTGACCTTGTACTTTCTCCTCACATTTCCCTCTTTCCTCTCTCCCTCTTTAGACTGACAAACATACACAAATAGATTCAATTAGATGAAAAATTACATTAATGTGAAAAAAATTATATTAAGATCACTAACAAAAAGTCCTCTCTCAGTGTACTTTCAACCAAAAGGGAAATAACCAAACCACATGAACATCTAATAAAAGATATAAACATTGAAATACTGATCCAACATTATTCTTGAGAGACAGATCATTTGATTTTACACTTTTACCTGAATGTGGCTCCTTTTTTTTTTTTGAATAAACTTCCTTATATCCATTATGAACCTGGCTGTCGCTCTGTACACACACACACACACACACACACACACACACACACACACACACACACAACGGGAGTTATAAGGTTATTGGCAGTGTTGGGGAGTAACGGGATACATGTACCGCGTTACGTATTTAAAATACAAAATATGAGTAACTGTATTCCGTTACAGTTACCGTTTAAAAAGGTGGTATTTAGAATACAGTTACTTTGTTGAAATAAATGGATTGCACAGCGGTACTTTCCTGTTTCATATTGTCATGGGTCAGGACTGTTTTGGTTTTGTTTGACAGCTATGTTCTGTTGTTCCAGGCGGCAGCGTTACGGTTGCCATGGTTACAGGGTGACGCTCTCTCTCTGCGTGTTTCCTGACTGAGAGAGCGCCTTTTTGTTGTTGTTGTGCTAAGCTAATAGGCAGAATGCTACAAGCATAGCTCTAAAGAATGTAGCATCATGGGCAGTGTAGTCCGTGCTGCAGGGAGAATGGACTGCCATACCCGTTATGTGTCTGTGAGCGAGGGAGGGAGAAAAAGGGAAAGTACGAGTTGTCATCGAGCAAAAGCGGGAGCTGGAAGCATGTAAATATAATAATAACCACTGCAGCCAAGAAGAGTGCCTGAGGAGCCCAGTTGTAAGTAAGCTATTAAGACTCGACTGTACGCTGTGTTGCTGTTTTCCTCTGAAACAATAAGTTCCGTTGGAGCAGCCTTTCAACGCCTCTCTCTGTCTCTCGCAAGCAAAGTTGACCCAGACAACAAAGTAAAGCTAGTTTTCGGCTACGAGCCCGACACGGAACCTGACGTGCTCCTGACGTGTTAGTCAGAGGTCCCTTTACTACAGTTCGGAGCCGCGGACCTTCAGTAACAGTAATAAATCACAGCAATAGCACATTCACGTAGTTGTAAACAGCATGATAATATATTAAGTCAGTGGTTCCCAAACTTGTTTTTGCTGCTGCCCCCCTTTGTTTTACAAGAAAAATGTTGCGCCCCACTCCCCCCCCCCCCCGCGCGTGCACGCGCACACATGCACGCACACATCCTCCAACCACACACACCCATATTTTGCTCCATTGCGGTTTATTTCACACCTCAAACATTTAGTAAACAATTA